TTCAGATAATTATTCAAAAGACGTTCCGATTTCAAAATATTATCAACATCGATGTTGTCATATTTCGTGGTGTACTTATCACCGGCAGCGATGCTGACAATCAGGAAGGCAGCAATGACAAAGGCAACGGTAAGGAATTTCATGTTTGCTAGAGCTGTAAATCAAACACACACAAAAAATCAGGATAAACAGGAAGTTATTTTTGTGTTTTTTGCGGAACACTTTTTATCCTTTTTTGGAGAGTTACAGATTTTTATTTAATTTTTTTATTGCTGTTGTTTTTGTTTTTTTTTATGTTTACACTCACTTTATTTGATGTTCGCTAATGTTGTTGTTTTTAATAATCGCTTGCAACTAATTGTAGAACAATTTTCACGCCTCCCATTTATATCGGAATTCTAGCCGATTTCGAACAAAGCCAACCGCATTTCATTGTCATTTGGCGAAACTTGATTTCTCAATTCGCTGCAACTGTTGCAAAGTAGTTAACTAATCCAAATAGGTTGTTAGGCCTATATCACTTTTCGCAATGCAGGTTTTTTTCTTTTCACCTCTAAAAAAATCTGAAAAATAAAATTTAATATTTTTTTCTTTCAAATAAATGGAAAATTTCCATATTAATTGTTTAAAGCAGGGGCGTAGCTAGTCCTATCTTTTGAATAAGGATAAAGGTTCTAAGAGAAATACTTAAAGCTCGAGAAATTATAAAATATTTGAAACCTCCGAAAATTGAAAGTGGGGTTGGACTCCCCCCAGCAGACCCCCTTCTACGACCCTGTTTTCTAATTATGATTAAGTACAAATCATATGGACAACAAACAAACATGCTTAAACATTATTAGTCTGTCAATCTAAATGAAGATAATACTGAGATGTCATAATCCGATACATTTGTTTAAGGTCAGTATAGAAATTTATGAGGCGGACAATGACTTGAAAATTGAATTAGGTCCTCGAAAATATATTAAAAAACGAGTAAAGAAAGTAGTAAAGTCGCACGGAACCGACTGTATATGATACCCTTCACCACTTTGGGTATATTTGACAGATGATTCCTAACAGACGTTGCATTTTTGAAGGACCCATATAATGAAATTGGATCCATAAACATGTCATTCTGCAACCGATACTATATTTTTCAATTGGTCAGATATAGAAGCTATATCTAAATCTGAACCGATTTCAGGAAACTTAACACACATCATTCTAGACCTAATTCATTACGCTGTGCCAAATTTCGTGCAAATCGAAAGATATATAGGGACTTTGGTGCAACATCTACATTAAATCGGACGGAAATATATATATGGGAGCTATATTTAAATCTGAACCGATTTTCATGAAACTTAGCACACATCATTCTAGGACTAATTCATTAAGCTGTGACAAATTGCATGCAAATCGAAAGGTATATGCGGAATTTGGTACACCATTTACATTAAATGGGACGAAAATATATATGGGAGCTATATCTAAATCTGAACCGATTTTAACGAAACTTAGCACACATCATTCTAGAACTAAATCATTACGTTGTGACAAATTTCGTGCAATTCGAAAGCTATATGCGGAATTTGGTACACCATTTACATTAAATCGGATGAAAATATATATGGAAGCTATATCTAAATCTGAACCGATTTTTCACAATTTCAATAGGGTTTGTCCTTGGACCAAAAAATCCACGCCTTTGAAAAAATATTTTTTCAAAAACCCACGCCTTCGAAAAAAATATTTTTCAAAAATCCACGCCTTTGAAAAAATATTTTTCAAAAATCCACGCCTTGAAAAAATATTTTTAGAAAATCCACGCCTTGAAAAAATATTTTTTTAAAGATGCACGCCTTGAAAAAATATTTTTTCAAAGATCCACGCCTTTGAAAAAATATTTGTAAAAAATCCACGCCTTGAAAAAATATTTTTTCAAAGATCCACGCCTTTGAAAAAATATTTGTAAAAAATCCACGACTTGAAAAAATATTTGTAAAAAATCCACGCCTTTGAAAAAATATTTTTAAAAAATCCACGCATTTGAAAAATTATTTTTAAAAAATGTACGCCTTGAAAAAATATTTTTAGAAAATCCACGCCTTTGAAAAAAATATTTTTCAAAAATCCACGCCTTGAATAAATTTTTAAAATTTTTAAAAAATTATTTTTAAAAAATGTACGCCTTGAAAAAATATTTTTTCAAAGATCCACGCCTTTGAAAAAATATTTTTTCAAAGATCCACGCCTTTGAAAAAATATTTTTTCAAAGATCCACGCCTTTGAAAAAAATATTTGTAAAAAATCCACGCCTTAAAAAAATATTTTTTCAAAGATCCACGCCTTTGAAAAAAATATTTGTAAAAAATCCACGCCTTAAAAAAATATTTTTTCAAAGATCCACGCCTTTGAAAAAATATTTGTAAAAAATCCACGACTTAAAAAAATATTTTTAGAAAATCCACGCCTTTGAAAAAAATATTTTTCAAAAATCCACGCCTTGAATAAATTTTTATAAAAAATCCACTCATTGAAAAAATATTTTTTAAAAAATCCACGCCTTTGAAAATTTTTTTTAAAAAATCCACGCCTTTACAAAATATTTTTTTAAAATCCACGCTTTGAAATTTTTTTTAAAAAATCCACACATTGAAATTTTTTTTTAAAATCCACGCTTTGAATTTTTTTTTAAATCCACGCCTTGAAAAAAATTTTAAAAATATTTTTTCGACACTTTGAATTTTTTTTTTTTAAATCCACGCCTTGAAAAAAATTTTAAAAATATTTTTTCGACACTTTGAATTTTTTTTTTTAAATCCACGCCTTGAAAAAAATTTTAAAATATTTTTCGACGCTTTGAATTTTTTTTTTTAAATCCACGCCTTGATTTTTTTTTTAAATCCATGCCTTTGAAAAAATATTTTTTCAAAAATCCACGCCTTGATTTTTTTTTTTGTTTTTTAAATCCATGCCTTTGAAAAAATATTTATAAAAAATTCACGCCTTTAAAAAAATATTTTTTCAAAAATCCACGCCTTGAAAAAATATTTTTTCAAGGCGTGCCTATGAAAGGACCTCCAAATAATATTTTTTTTATTTGATGTCTTGATATTATTTGATTTTTTTATATTTCCCCTTTTTAAAATGAAAAATTACATTTTTGTTATTTTGTACAAAAAATATGGCCTTTATTTTTGTTGTTGTTGTTTGTTTGTTTTGTAAACTTAACATATGTATATAAAAAAGTATAAAAAACGAGTACTTGGAACAAATGGCACTATAACTACGAAGTAAACGCACGGGGATATGTACTTTTGTAATAATAGTAATTAATTAGGATGATGATACAGATTCTTTCAAATTCATTTTTTCAAAATTTCACCGACTATATTTCTCTATAATTTCTGACAATTTTTTTGTGAAATTTCTGTTTGCCAGACTCCCTCCAAGGTAAGGCGAACAAAACGCAATTAGGCAGTTGTTTTGAATTGAATTTTTTGGAGGGGGTTTTTTACATTGTAATAGTGGGGGGGTTTCCGGCGGCGGGGGAATAATTTCATAATATATAAAATTCATCGCTCTCTCTCTCTATGGGTCTCTCTTCCGTTCTCTTCGACTATGTCTATGGATGATCATCTAACGCTACTAAAATCTAAGTGTGTGGAACAGCTACTAAAACTTAAATGCGAATGTTGGTTTTTGATTTGTATTTGTTGTTGTTGTTCTCTTTTTGGGATTACAACAAATCACGTCTGCTATTGCTGCAGCTGAGATAAACTTGCCGTTGACATGTCACCGTTTTGCAGGGCACGCAATTCAGCCGTGAGAATTTTCTCGTTTTTCATTTGATTCGCTTCACGCCTGCGGGCCAAATAATAGAAACTCGCCACAATTAAACTAAACGATACGATGCTCATTAGAAGGGTTCCATATTTGAGAATATATTCGATGAGGTTGAGGCCGAAGGTACTGGCATACAAAGTATCGAGAATTTCTGGTGTAAAATCTCCCGATGTGATTTCAATCCATATCAGGGGTAAGATGGCACCATCATCCAAGCGTCGCACCAAGCCTGGAATGAAACAACAAAAAATCGATATTAATTAATGAATTTCAAATGAAATTAAAAGTTATGTAATTTTTTTTCTCCGACTCGAGGTGAAGATTGATGAGTTAGCATTTATTGGTTTATTTTCCCCTGAGGGTAGATTTTTTTCGTTGCATGAAATTTGGTTTTAATACGTGGTTTTCATTAAGGCAGATTATAAAACCTAAGGCTTCACAGATGACAAAAAGAAATGAATATTTTTTTAATATTGTTTCAACACCCTAACGTAGATGTGGATTTTAAAAAAATATTTGTTAAGGTCTTGTCATTTTTTTTTCAAAATCATTTTCAACACCCTAACCTAGGAGTGGATTAATAAAAAAATATTTTTCCAAAGAGCTTTCTAAGGATTGGATTTTTTAAACATATTTTTTCAAGGGGCTACATTAGGCGTGGGGTTTTTACAACTTTTTTCCTTAAAAAAATCGTATTTTATAGCCCTAATGGCTCCTGCAAAAATTCATTACATAATAACCAGAGAAGCCGTTAATATTCCACACACCCATGCCCGAACGTACATACATATCTCAACGTAAGTATGTCTGTGTGCCGCTTATTAGTAAACAATTGTCTTAATATGTTAAATCAACATTTGTTTCCTCTACGCCCTTTTAAATATTCATTGAAAAATCACACACACCCACCTCGACAATTCACCTTCCCCCCCTTACTCACCTTTCACCAGATCCCCCTTGTGCAGAGCCATATTAATTTGTATACGCGATGCACCGCTAATGGGAAATGCAAAACGTGGATGAACATCGGCAAATGTTTGATGCAATTCCTGTTTCGGCTCAATACCCTCAAAATCTTTATAGATAATCGGATCTCCCGAAAAGAAATGTGGAAATGAGGGATAAATTGGTGCATCATCATAACACCGGGTGGCATTAATGACACCGCTGGGCATGCAACGCTTCGTATTCTGACAATAACATGCATTGTCGGGATTCTCCTCAGGATTACCGAACACATTCAAGGGGGTGCGATAACGCAACGCATCAATGTTATCGTAAATGGTCACCTCTTTCTCGAACAGCAATGGGACTTTGCGACAGAAGACCTGCAGGAATACGCTCAACGGCTCACGGGTCTCCACAACGTGGGGAGGAAACATTGACGGATCGGAACCATCAATGCGATTACACTCCTCATCGGTCCAAAAGTCCAACATAGGTTTGCCATTGAATTGGGTAATTTTACTAAATTTCCGAATGTCATCTTCGCCGGTATAGACCTGCAGGGAGTCGACACTGGTACCCCTACGCTAAATTTGATTTTTTTATTATATAAATATCTGAATAATGATGATATTTTTTGATTCCTTACATTTTTCAATAGACCAAAATAGGCGTCACCACCCAAAAAGGTTTTTTTTATATTCAATATGGGATCCTTATAGCCCCACAAATAATCCTTGACCTTGAGGGTATAAAAGGCATGGCGTCCTGCAGCTCTCACGGCGCCCATACTTAGGCCACGCGTAAACGGGTTCTTCATCTTTTCGATTTCCTCAGAGGCAGCCAAAAAGGGGACATTCGGCACGACCACAGAAACGTTTTCGTCATGGGATGAGCGATCACGCAGAAATTGATATGTGCGATGGTCCTGAAGAAAAAGAGGGAAGTCATTAATTTGTTTAAGAATTTAAATGTGACATAGTTCGAATATTCTTTATAGAATTTGTACGCAGAGGTTCCAAAGTGACCTACATATTTTGTCTATGGAAATAAATTGCTGGCCAACAGGGTTTTATTTTTTGCTATTTTATTTTATTTATTATTATTTTTTTTGATTCGCCCAGTTTTCTATTTTTCTATAGTAAATATATCACTGACCCTCAGGGTCCTATTTTTTTTATAGAAAATATATTCCAGGTCATCTGGGCCTTATTTTTTCATATAAAAAATTAACACAACGTCCATTTGTCACTCTCTTTACTACAAAGCATTGCAACCTTTGCCAAATGCGTTCCATTACCATTGTAATGTAGTTAGATATTTAAAAGCATACTTTTAGGCGTTATAGGGAAATGCTCTCAATAAATGAATTTGATTAACATAAATGGATTTAAATTTAATCATTTATTATTTGAATAACAAAGAACAGAAAATTACTACTTAAATTAAAAACTTAACCTTCAAATGACCTTTTGCTTTAATTAAATGATTTAAATAATTGCCATACTTACACGGAATGTTACAGTATAGTTGTCATTGTGCACCACATTAACTTTTGTCGTATGCTCCTTATACAGGAATGGTCCTAGATCTTCCACCTTTATTTTATCCGCTTTATATTCGAGATAATCTTTAATATTTGTATAATTGAAAATGTGTACTTTAAGAAATGTATCATATTTCGGGTTGGGATCAATCCATGATTTTGTGGTCTCGGAATCTTTGGACAATATTAGATTCTGAAAACAAATGGTTAGACAAATTAAATAATAAAATAAAAACTTAAATAAATTACAAATATTTACCTCCAGGATTTTATTGTTGTAATACTGTGTAAACCACATAACAAATAAACCGGTTAAGCTCATAATAAATAACAGAGCCATGCCGCCCAGTACTGAAATGTAGGAAAAAGAAAAATATATATATTAGGGTCCATTTGATAAATATTGAAAAGAAAAATATTGAAAGGTACAGAAATGTATGATGCCTTCGAGCGCTAACGAAGGTCATGACAGAATCTTTGAATTCTGAGCCACACTTTGGTCGATAGGCAGGAAAATGTCAACAAAATAACTACACCAAATGGACTTTTCTGATATCGTTTGACCTACAAACATATATGTAGTGGCATATGTTTATTAGGGTGGGTAGAAAGCGTGAATTTTTTAAAAAATATTTTTTCAAGGCGAGGATTTTTTAAAAAATATTTTTTTCAAGGCGTGGATTTTTTAAACATATTTTTTTCAAGGCGTGGATTTTTTTAAACATATTTTTTTCAAGGCGTGGATTTTTTTAAAAATATTTTTTCAAGGCATGAATTTAAAAAAATATATATTTTTTCAAGGCGAGGATTTTTTAAAAAATACTTTTTTAAGGCGTGGATTTAAAAAAAATGTTTTCAAGGCGTGGATTTAAAAAAAAAAATTTTCAAGGCGTGGATTTTTTAAAAATATTTTTTTCAAGGCGGGGATTTTTTAAAAATACTTTTTCAATGCGTGAATTTTTTTAAAAATTATTTTTTTCATGGCTGAATTAAAAAAAATTTTTTTTGAAAAATATTTTTTTAAGGCGTGGATTTTTTCAAAAAAGTTTTTTCAAGCCGTGAATTTTTTCAATGCGTGATTTTTTTCAAAATATTTATTCAAGGCTTGGATTTTTTAAAAATATTTTTTTAAGCCGTGAATTTTTTCAAAGCGTGGATTTTTTCAAAAATGTTTTTTCAATGCGTGATTTTTTTCAAAAATATTTATTCAAGGCTTGGATTTTTTAATAATATTTTTTCAAGGTTTGGATTTTTTAAAAATATTTTTTCAAGCCGTGAATTTTTTCAAAAATATTTTTTCACGGCGTGAATTTTTCAAAAAAAAAAAAAAATTTTAACGCCGTGAATTTTTTCAAAAATATTTTTTCAGCGCATGAATTTTTTAAAAGTATTTTTTCAAGGCGTGATTTTTTTTAAAAATATTTTTTCACGGCAAGAATTTTTCAAAAAAATATTTTTTCAAGGCGTGGATTTTTTAAAAATATTTTTTTAAGGCGTGAATTTTTTCAAAAATATTTTTTCTCCAGGTTCCCAATGTTGGATTTTTTTTCCTACTTCTTTACATTACATCCTAATGTCCACAACTTTTGTTTTGTTTACAAAAAAATGCAGTACAACAACTTTCTGTTATCTCATCCATTGTTGTTGTTGTTATTGTTGTTTTTGTTCTTGTATTTCTTGTCATAATTTTCTTATTGTTTATCGCGTTAATAATTTGTTATTATTGTTTCGAAAATTTTGCAATGCGCGGTCTGTCAGCTTTTGTGTGGCTGAAAATTTATATGTGTGTGTGTGTGCATAGGCAATACAGTAGATGGGGTCACATGAACCGGAATTATCTCTAAACCCCGGAAAACCATAGGAGATCCGAAAATCCGAATAATTCCAGTTTTTTTCGCAATAATCCCAACTCTATTCTTTTATTTTTAATTTTTTTATGACTTCCAAGAAATCTGACCCACACTAATATTCTAATGATGATAATTCTGTGACATACATACAAATGCATATAAAAACAAAACAAAAAATAATAATAATGCTACTCACATATCAGTGTTCCCATTTCTTTGGTCCGCTGTTCCTTCTCCCGAATAATATCGTAGACAATTTCGAATAGACTTTGAGTTTTCTTGCCGCTATCACTGCGGCTGTATTTGACCACGGCCGTTGCCTTGCCGTTCCCATTGCATTGGCCATTCTTGTTGCCATTCTCGTGGCAGTGATGTTGTTCCTGGTTCAAGTGTTGCTTCTCATCTGCGGCATCATTGTAATCCTTTGTCCTACGCACTTCGTGTGACGTCGTTCCATTGGATCCATGTCCATTAACTCGGCTGAGAGTTTCTTCCGCCTTCTGACCCATCATAGCCTTTTGGATGTTACATTAAAACGACGACGACAACAGCAGCAACAACAACACCAGCAAATGTGGTAGACCACGACAATCGATGATGACCTTATCAGCTCAGGAGCGAGCAGCTGCAGCAGTAATCAGCCTTACGCTCCACTGGAATGGTGCGAAAAAAAGAACAGAAAAATTGATTAACTGGCGAATTGAATTGGTTCGTGGGTTGGTTGGTTCGCTCGTTGCTTGCTGGGTGGGTTGCTTGTTTTCTTTGTTCGAAGAACGAAGTTGATCCGATAGATAATTAGAATTGTTGTTGACGGCTGCGATGATGATGATGGTGATAATGACAACCTGGCAGAGAGCGGGATTTTCTCAACAGGGAAAGAGAGTAAAATTCTAATTGTGAACGGAAGTAAAAAAAAAATTCGCTTAATTGACCACTTTTTTAGCTGATTATAATTTAAAAAAAGTCCTACAGATGTTGTTGCTGCTTGATTTGATAAGTAAACGACGTTGAGATAAGCCTCCCCACAACAAAACTCATCCACGCGATTTTCATCAGTTCAATGACTTTATAATCTACAGTTCTTTGTTAGCTGGGCTGATATTTTTTTCTATAAAAAAATCACTGAAAAAAAATTCAGAGAACCTTGGCTGCAAGATTTTTCTACAGGAAAAAAATCCACAGAAAAAATCATAAAAAAATAATACAGACCCACTAGGTCCAGGTTTTTCTCTATTGAAACAAGCTCACAGCTCATTCACAGATAACAAGGATCCCATTTTTTTCTATAGAAAAAAAAATCACAGACGCTTGGGTCCAATTTTCTTCTATAGAAACAAATCACAGACCCTAATGGTCCTATTTTTCCGATTCAGGAAACTCCGGAATTCAATTTCTATAGAAAAAAATTCACAGACGCTTGGGTTCAACTTCTTTCTATATGGAAAAATTTTCTTCTATAGAAAAATTCACAGATAATAAGGATCCCATTTATTGCTATAGAAAAAAATTCACAGATGCTTGGGTCCAATTTTTTTCTATAGGAAAAAATCACAGAACCTATTGATCCTATTTTTTTTCCTATAAAAAAATCTGAGAACCCCAAAATTAAATTTTTTTCTAAAGAAAAAAAAATCAATCTCTATAGAACAAATTGACAGACGCTTGGGTTCAACTTTTTTCTATAGGAAAAAATTTCACAGACCGCCAGGATCCCACTTTCTTCTATAGAAAAATCCACAGATAATAAGGATCCCATTTATTGCTATAAAAAATCACAGATGCTTGGGCCCGATTTTTTTCTGTAGAAAAAAATCACAGACCCTAGGACCATTAGGGTCTGTGATTTTTTTTCTATTTTTTTCTGAAAAAAAACAAAGAACCCCAGATTCATTTTCTTCTATAGAAAAAAATTCACAGACCATCAGGGTCCCGTTTTTGTTTTCCTATAAAAAAAAATCAGACTCTTGTGACCAATTTTTCCTATAGAAAAAAATCACAGACCATCAGGATCCCATTTTCCTCTATAGAAAAATATTCACAGATGCTTTGGTGCAATTTTTTTTCTATAGGAAAATTCGCAGAACTTAAGGATCCCACTTTCTTCTATAGAAAAAAAATCACAAACCATCAGGGTCCCATTTTTTCAATAGAAAAAAAATAAGCAGATCCTTGGGTTCAAGTTTTTTTATAGAAAGAAATTCACAGACCCTTATGTCCAAGATATTTCAAAAAAAAAATTCAAAAGCTCCAGAATCCAATTTTTTTATATTGTCCATATATTTCTATAGACCATCAGGGTCACAGTTCCCTCATTTCCTATAGAAAAAATGTATAGGCCCTCAGTATCCCAATTTCTTATATAGAAAAAAATCGAATGTCAAATTTTCTTCTATAGAGAAAAATCGCAGACGATCAGTATCCAATTCTCTTCTATAGAAAAAATTAACAGACCTTAAGGGTCAATTATTTCCTATAGAAACAAGTTTAAAGCCTCACGGGGTCCATTTTTTTATAGAAAAAAATATCACAGTCTCAATTCCATTTTTTTTTTTCTATAGAACAAAATTCACAATTTTTTATATTGTTCATATATTTCTATAGACCATCAGGGTCACAGTTTACTCGTTTCCTATAGAAAACATTTATAGACCCTCAGAACCTCAATTTCTTTTATAGAAAACAATCGAAATGTCCAATTTTGTTCTATATAAAAAAATCGCAGATGATCAGTATCCAATTCTCTTCTATAGAAAAATTAGCATACCTTAAGGGTCCATTATTTTCTATAGAAACAAGTTTACAGACTCACGAGGTCCAATTTTTTTATAGAAAAAAATATCACAGTCTCAATTTTTTCTATAGAACAAAATTCACAAACACTCAGGGTCCATTTTTTTCTATAGTAAAAAATGTGCAGACCTCTGGGTCGGGTCCCAGGCATTTCTAAAGTAAAAAATTCACAGACACTTGGGGGGTCTAAGTTTTTTTCTATTAAATAAAATTCACAGACCCTCAAGATCACTTTCTTTCTGAGGAAACAAATGACAGACACTTGATTTCAAGAGGGTCCTATATTAGACGATAGAAAAAAAGCAGGTACATACTTTGAACCTCGCAAGTCTCTGATTTTTTTCAATATAGTCAAATATGGGACCCGCAGGTTCCTGGATTTTTATTCAATAGAACATAAGTTATAAAGAGAAAAAATAATAGACTCTCAAAAAATTTCAGTTAATTGTTTTCTCCTAAATCTAAATGTTTCTGTAGAATATTTTTGTATCCAAGTGCATTTTTTTTTTGTATTTGAAAACAAATAGTTTCATGCTAATTGTTTTTCGAATCTCTAAATATTTACCCTGCCTAACGTTTGTTTGTTTTTTTTTCTAATCAGAAAAAAAATTAATATTTACATTCTGATCGACAGCCAAAGTGTCTTGTGCGTATGTGTGTGTGTGCTCGTCGCTGTAGCGTCAATCGAAGAAAAACTTATCAATGGATTTTGTTTTTCCAATAAATATTGAATTTTTTCAAATAAAATTGATTAACCGAAAGAAGTGTAAGAAGAAATAATCTACAAAACTAGCCAATGATCCGCAGCATATAAAACTGAAGAAAAATGTGTAGAAATAAAAAAAATATGTACATATGTATGTGTTCATGTAAGTTGAATCTTAATTATGCATGATTTATTGTAATTTCCAAGTAATCAGCCAGAACTTAAAGAAAGTGTGAAAAATATATGTGTGTTTGTATATGTCGTTGCTCATGTATGTAATGTCATGTTCGTAATTACGAAAATATGTCGATAGTGCCCGCCGAGTAGCAGCAACACAATTATGGCATTACAACGGATGCTGTTGCGAATGCTATTCGAATAATAAGGAAACTATTTTTTTTTTTTGAAATAATTTATTTATTTTTGCAAATTAATTAAGGAAATTTCGTTAATTATATTTTTTCTCCCAAAAAAAATTAGACCATAAATTAAGGTTGGTCTTCAGACCTAAACTAGTTTTGGTAAGCATAGAAGTTCCGGAACGAACTAGTTTTGTGATCTCGTTCACTGTTGTCGTTTTTGGCATTTCGGACAAAATTTGGTTATGCAATCAATTTAGGAGAGTTCCGTTTGAATTTTAAATTTTGGACAAAAAATTGGATTTTCGTACCTCTTTCACGGATATTTTGGACCGATTTATTAAACGAACTTCTTCTTCTAGTCGTCATTCGTTTTTCACATGCTGTCACACTGTTCAAATTTTTTTATTGTGTAACTAACAAAATTTATGAAAATATAATATATAAATAAAAAAAATCATGCTTATCATCTTGCAATTGAAATCTGTATCTTTCGAATATTTTTCTAAATAGAAATTAATTAAAATCAACATTTTTGATCTATTAGTTTACTTCTTCATCCATTAATCAATTAACACGGAACTACTTGAACGAAAAAATATAGCGATGAAAGAGAGAGAGAGAGATTCAAAGGAACTGCCTAGAATTCGGAACAATATGGAACAACGGAACTATGTAAAGGAACTTCTTAGATGGCTCGAGATAGAACATTTGTTCAATAAGCCGAACTAAAATATTTCCAGGTGCTTCGATCTTGTGCACTGTTTTTCCAGTTTGGAAGACCATGCTCTGATATGTCATCCTCCACTTGATATTTCCATCGAACTCGTAGCCTTCCCTTTGTGCAATATCATATATACCATCAATAAGCTGCCTTTTATATGCCTTTCGAGCTATATCATCCTCATCCATTCGCACAACGTAACCTAGTCACCATTTTTTTTGACTATGTAATTCAACGCCGATTTTCAACGTTGGCGCGGGTCGGCTTGTACATATTTCGAATAAAGGGCGAAACACATACGAGAATTCAGGCCTGGCATGTTAATTTGGCTTTTATGAAATGCCAGTTTATAAAGGAATATCAGAGTCAAGGGCTAAACAGAATGTTCGCGTTGGGCGTTTTTTTGTTATCGCGTTAACGCACGCAAAAAGTTAAAATATATTTAAGGGGACCCCCCCATTCTCGGTGTCAAAAATTTTTTTGATTTAATTCGAATCTACTCTAATTCTAGAATGTCTCTACAAAATTGCAAGTGAAAATCTCAAGAACTCTTAAAGATATAGCCGATTTATTGTGTTAGCATCAAGTGACGGCTAAAGGGCTTCTCAAACTTTAAACGCGTTTTTCTCAATACGAATGGCGGGCACGATAACTCAAAAACTAATAATCCAATCGGTTTCAAATTTTGACACGTTTCTCTGGGAGTGTGTAGCTCTCGTATGAACTAGGATAAAGCTAATCGGTGAAGATCTTCCTTATTTTTTAACTTAGTTTGTGGTAAAAAATAGGCGATTTTCCATAAAAATTTTTTCAAAGTTCCGCCATTTTGTTAATTGTTGTGCGAAGTCAATAATCCTAGTTCATACGAGAGCCAGACATGTCCTCTTTCTAAAACAGTTGGAATTTTCGGATTCCGATGTTCCAGTGAGG